AGGCCAAAACCAGCAGAGAAACCACCAACACTTCCTCCATGTTCACAGCTCAGTGCAGGACTGAGAGAGGATCTGTTTCACCTCAGCATCAGTCTCTCAGTTCTGTGGCTTTCTGAGACAGCATTTCACATGCTCTTTGTGTAATCGCTAGATTGAATGACAGCGCCCTTTTTAATATTGAAGTTCCTCTTTAGGGCCACCTAGGAAAAACTATTAGAGTTGGAAACGTATTGTTGGAGTTCAAACTTTGAATCCTGAGTCAAGTAAATAGTACATATTAAATACATTAAAGGTGGGGTAGGTCATTTTGGAGAAAACAGCTCGAGTGCGCTAGAATTTGAAAATACACAACCGGAACAAATCTGCCCCTTCCTTCAGACTTCCTTACAGAGCCCCTCCTCCAACACACACGAACGCGCACATGACCAATGAGGGCACGAGATAAGTTTGTGCACAGATGGAAGGCTGACAGGCAGGTAGGCCATCCAGTTACTTTAGCCGGGCCGGCTCAGATGATTGGTCGTGCTTTTTACAGCGCCACGGCTTCCACAGATGAAATGTTTGTATGTATTTATTGTCAAAGCACTTCAGATATTCATTGCCATCGGGATGTTAAGAGCATTCCATGGAATATAACAAAAAGTGTATCTCGAGCCGGTTTCTCAAACTTACCGACCCCACCTTTAATGGAGAAACAAGAACTTAATACAAAATGAACAGCGTTAAAGAAAAAGAAACCAGTAGTCATGTTTTAGGTCTTACGCTGGATACAATATTAAATTGGGAAAATATCTAATATATAATGTTTTTATGGCAGAAGTGGACATTATTCTCATCAGAGCTACGTGTTTGGAGTGACTCACAAGTGTTAAATTGTGGCTTGAATATCAGCATAAAAAACACACAAACATTTCCATTTCCCGATCGAAAGCTGGACGAAAGAATAAAATGAGACGTCCAATAATTATGTTTTCAACTGTTTACTGTTTACATAGATCGTACCCAGAGACACAGTACACATTGGAATACTATGATTGCATACACGATACAAAATTGGCATCTCAATATCTTATAGAATATATTTATTTTGAACACTACATCTGATATCTTAACTTTAGAGGTAAAGAGGAAGGCACACGAGGTTATGAGGAACACATAAAAAAAAAAGTGGATTTAAATCTGAAATGACCACATTCACTTTACAGCATTTCCTGCTTTGTGGTAAAACCAGTGTGCAAACTTCTTCCCTCTGTTACAGGGAAATGTGTGTTTAGGTAATTTAACTGATTACAGAATTCTTGGTATCGAAATCCGGACATAGAGAACATAAGAGGAAATAAATAAATATGAATCATCGTAAATTCAACTGGTCCCGTCGGACTTACAAAAATATGTCCCAGCATGCATTTCACCCTCAGTCTGTAGTGCTGCATGATTACAGCTCAAACACTTATAAGGAATTGAGCAAATGTACTATATTAAACATCTGCTTGCTGTCGCTACATGTGACTCTCTTTGCTCGTTAATTATCGTCGTGTTTAATAAAGATTTTTCTTGTTACAAGCATTCAATTTAAGGCTGGTGAATGTTTTCTCTCCAGTGTTTTTACTCTTATCAAATAAATGCACTAAGAATGCGATAAGCGACAGAAAACCCTGAAATTAAACCAAATTAGGCAGTTATTATTATTTCTAACTGAAGAGTTATGTAAACTTTAGTGCAGTGGAAACTCTCTTAGCTTTTTGGTCATGCATTAACCTTCGAGAGAAACATTGGCATTTTAGCCTTTGCAGACCATTCACATGCACTGACACACACGCAGAGAGGAAACCCCAGAGAGCATAACAGGACCTCTTTAAGAAAAACCTGCAGCACTTTTTAGTTTGGAGATGAGTTTGAGTGGAACAGTTCCTGTACGTTTGTGCAGATTTTGAGAAATTGTTATTCAATAGTCACTGCTTTATGATGTAAAAAAAATTAAATTAGATTTGAATGTTTCACGAAAGAAAAAGGTACATATACATTTGTGTTTATTTGTGCATGGAAAGGCAATTGGCAGATCAGACTTCCAGAAATCATTAACTCCTTAAGTCAATGAGAAAAGGTTGACACATTATTATTTAGTAGTCAAAATATAAAATGTCATTCGATTTAAACTTCCATAAAAGGAACGCTACAACAAATGCTGGTCAGTCATAGTTCATAGAAAGAAGGTAGACGGGAATCAGCAGGTCAGACCGTAAGAAAATGAAATATTGGAAAGTCTGTGTATCGTTACGTTTGTTTCCACTCTCTAGGACGTTCAGGACGGAGACACGAGAGAAGGATTGAATCGTTCCCCTGAAGAATGATTGCGGTCCCTATAAATCTAACCTGACTGTACGTTCGGGAATGTTTAGCGTTTGTGAATGCATCGTGTCGCTAAACTTTATTTTGAAAAACCTGCGAGTAGCAAGTTGGATTTCCCACTTCTCTGGCATCTCTGGAATGTAATTAAAGTCACATACGTGTCTTTGTCGCCCGGTGTACCTCCAGGTAAGGCACAAACACCTTGTTAATTTTCAGGAAATAGAATACAAAAGGCAGTTTGGCGACTGTGTTTTTCCCGTGGAGTCACACACAAGAGGAGCAGATGATCACACCTGCGCCCTGGAGGCAGAGCAGCTCCCTGACGGTGTGTGTTCAGAGACGAGAACGTGGTGATCAGTCCTTCGAGGTAATTACAAAACCGTCTCTCTGGTGCAGCAGCTTCATAAGGAATCATGTGATGAAGGCCTCACTTGTGGTTCGATTTCAGTTTTTCATCTTCGTACAAAAGAGCCTGAGGGGAGAGGAGAGACACGGTTCATGAGAACGATGACAAAGAGATGCAGCGTCCAATCACAACTCACTATCAGAGATCTTTTCTGGGATTGGAGATCTCAAAAACGATAGGAGAGAACATGGAGTATAACTTTCTGTTAAATATGTGCCTTGCACGTGTGTGTGCGTGCGTGCGTGTGCATGTGCGTGTGTGTGGTACCTTGCTCTCCGGCAAGTTGGCTCTGTACATTACTGACGGAGTGTTAGCTGCGTGTGTTTTGTTGTACAATATACAATATACGTTGCTCTCCAGCACTCTGTAGTGTGTGTGTGTGTGTGTGTGTGTGTGTGTGTGTGTGTACATTGCTCTCCAGCACTCTGCAGTGTGTGTATGTGTGTACCTTGCTCTCCAGCAGTGTGTGTGTGTGTGTGTGTGTGTGTGTGTGTGTGTGTGTGTGTGTGTGTGTGTGTGTGTGTGTGTACCTTGCTCTCCAGCACTCTGCAGTGTGTGTCGTTGCTCAGCTCCTCCAGAGTGTCGACTGCTGGTCTGTTCAGAGTCTCCGGCAGCAGGAGGCCGAGGCAGCCGGCCGAGAAGCCGCTGAGGCAGAACACCGTGAAGGGCATGGAGGTGTGGAGAGCACGCTGCAACACACACACACACACACACACACACACACACACACA